ATTCTGGGGGTCAAACGTTCATAGTTACAACAGTGTATATATCTACCAGTAACAAATGAAGCTTATCCTTCAGGCTTTTGAATTGGGCTGAATCTTACATATGGTATGTTACTAATATAGTAATATAATACAAACTGGACAAAATAATGACTACAACACGAACAATTTGCGGTGGAAAACAATGTACGTAAGTATATATATATGTGAAATTTATGTCAAAGATGATTAGGTTTACTTTTACAACCAAGAAAAAGTATGCAGAACATATTAATTACGGCTCCTTATGTTTAGTGGAATGTCACGAACCAACGGTATTGATGCGAAATTATTCATGAAAAATACCACTTTAGATCATGTTAAAAAAAGCTAAATTGGTTCCACTTCCTACCGAGTAATCCTATTACAAGCAAACTAGACAATTGGCTAAAAACGAAGCCCACTCTATACCCCATAAAATCTAAAAACAAAAAAGAGAGTTCAAACAGCTTCGAAAAAAAGGGAGGCAGCCATTTGTATTGGAATACTGTTTTCAGCACTTTATTTTATAATTACACAATTCCATACTTACTTCTGAACTACCTTCATTTATACAGTTCTTTACCCACTCATACCTTGCCCACACTTATTTTTCTTTAACACATTAGTATGTTCTTACCTAATAAATACTTCAGTAACAGACAAATAGACTAAATGGTTATATATTAACTATTCCTCCATGAATATTGTGTGCTCTGCTTTTCGTCCTTCCTTTTTCTTACACCTTTTTCAGCCTCCTGCAGATACTCCACTGAAAACAGATATGGCACGGGTGACTTCATCCTACACCGTTATTAAAGCCTCAGATATTCCGGAGGGATATAAGTTCGAAACTTCTAAAAGCCCCCAACTTCACATGTATCTATTCCCGACCATCAGTTGTATGTTGCAACGCTACCTCCATAAAGTGCGCCAAATGTGATATCGATATGTTTCTTACGAAATCCATTTACATTCATATCTTATGAAATATCAACCCAGCTGAGTAATTTTCAACAGTGAAAATTGTAACTTCTTTAACAATTTGATCTTGCCTGTAAACCGGCATGCCTCATGTAACAATCTGTTATTTGAGAATAAATTATTATTATGTACGAAACCGAAATTAGCTTATATGTTCCAAATGGAGCCCACTGGCTTCGTTTCCTCGGATACACCTCGTTCTACCTACGTAAGAAGCCAGGTTTGTAGTAAATAGGTTTTCGTTCTAAAGCCCAGATAGGTGGAGTGGAGTGCTGGGTTACCTTTTTAAACACACAAAGCATCTCAACACTCAGTGTAAAACAATAGGAAATATAATGTCTATACGAAATAAGAAAGTGAGTGAATAATTAAGCTTTAATGTTTTGACAACTACTTAAATGTTTCCGTCCAACTCTTCACCAGTCAACCTAAGTTGTTGTAACTTTTCACAAATTTAGAAACATTTGTGTTGCCAAGCTGTGTCGCAATTAGATTTCATAAAAAATTCCATCTCACGTTTGTCTACCGATTTAGTCTCCATGTTAAAACACATTCCTTTTAAAAGTGCAAGACCTCAGAAATATCACCAGTAGACTTGGCAGGTGCAAAATGTCTGTCATACTCACGTGTTTTTACTACTTCGAGAAACTGAGCAATTCCGTCGGTCATGTTGTAGTGGATGTCGAGTCGAGGACGGACTATGGTCACCACTACAATTCGATTACGCGCCCAAAAACGATTTGGTTCCTTTGATAGCTCGTAAATCAGAAGGCTTTATTAATCCAGATCAAGTATATTTATTGGCGATCTCGTGGTATCGAAATAATACCGAGACGTGCCAAAGCGTACAGTCGAATAGGCAGAGCGTGATCAAGTTCGAACCAAGCAAGGCGGATAGCGAAACAAGAAGTGAATCTGACACAGTTAAACAAATACAGTAAAACAATCTCTGGTACAATTGGTTGCAACAGTAATAATTGTTTCTGTTATTCCAATCGTGTTCTTATCGCGACTGGCCGGTCACTACAATGTCATACTCGTGGAAGTCACCGACTGCATAGCAGAATAATTCTTTTGTACTTGCAGGCTATGAGAGCATGAATTACTGAGGGAGGATGAGGGAGTCTCGATCTTTAAAAGACTGAATGTATTTCTGAATAATAAGAACCACAGTTATAGATATGCTAAAATATATCAGCACGCAAAAACAATATAACAGTATTCGGAAACTTAATTTTGTAGTAACATACTTTTATGACGGGAACGCGATTAGTATAACGGAAACATTTATCATTATAACCAATTGAACCAGTGATTGTTTTACAGTGCCTGTTTGTTTAAGTGTATCAGAAACACACAGTCGTCCGTTGCCTGTGACCCTGAACGAGCCCAAGTACGCTCGGTAATTCAGCTTGTAAACTTTGGCACGATATCAGTATTACTTCGATACCACGAGATCGCATTACAACTGCCTTCTAATTTTCGGCTTACGGAGGGAATCAACCGAATATTTCGTATGTATTCTTCTTGTAGTGATGATTATAGTCAATCGCGATTCGACGTCAACCACAATTTTACGACGAGCAATAGACTCTCAGTGTATCTCTCGGTACATCTAATCATTCAGTGGCTCGGCACCAAATATGCCATGAATGTCCGGAGCAATACAACGCTGTTGTCTAGATCACTCTTTTAATAAAAGGTAATCAGGCCAGTCAAACCGAGAGTCAACGATGAAACAGTTTGAAGATATATTTTTGGACAGTTTAAAATTCATCAAGAAGTATACGATCCAAACTTACTTGTCATTCCTAAAAAGATTATCTGCACGGCATACCCAATCGTGTTCTGATACCAATCCTTAACCAAGGGCGTGAAGCTGAAGTTGCATCCATCAAAATCAACAAAGTCAGCATAATTATCAAATACCCACCAAACTATTTACTTTGCTGATTTGTCAACCACTACAGGGTTTTTTAGCCACAGCTTTAGATGCCAGCTTTGCAACATGTAAGATCCAAACCCAAATTCCAATAGGTCTGGATGTGGCTGGATAACTAGGGAATAGGTTTGTGAACGCGTGACCCAATCGAAATCAGAACAAGGTGTCTTGGGTAACAACGGTTCTAAATTTCATCATATATACAAATGTACAAATTTACCTAAACAAATATTACCACCCAGTTATTCAACCAACAATTGATACCAAAATATTCAATCTAAATTACAATGAATTGCAAAGTGGTAAGAAATATATGAAAACTATCGAAAATATCAAAAGGTAAGTGTTGTTCTGTCCATTCTGGATAGATCAAGTAAAATTCCGTTTTAGCGGCTGTTCTATAACACAAAGTGTTTCAAGTTCTGGGAAAGTGCTCCAATTTACAACCAAAAATGCACGATCCCAGTCAAAATCAAACCGCACAATCAAAGAGCGAGCAGTCAATATGACAGCCGCCAAAATAATAACAATTAAAACAAACTGAATACAGTTCAGTCAGGAACATAAAGACTCGATAAAAACGACAGGAAAACCGAGAAAATTAAACGTTACAGTCTTAATTAGCATCAAAAAAGTTAACAATATATGCAAATAAACAGACCACAAAGAAGAAGTCGCAAATGTGTGGAGGGATTTTCGCTTTCATAGGGATCTAACACAACATGTTAGTCAGACAACGAATCCTTGTTTTAAATATGGGATGGATATGCTTGAATGCATTCAGCATTGAGAAAACCAAGTGATAAAATGGCTTTCTGATCTTTAACAAGGGGATAGACTACAACACTTCAACTTATTTTCGTTATCTGATCATTAGTTACGAGGTGATCTTGTCGATCACCAACGTATATGCGCCGAATAATTGAGGAATTATTCTACTAAGACAGGAATGGCATGATCAACCGGCTAACACTGAAGTCACACCTCAAAGTTAGTAGCTGATGTAGATTACCTTTTCGCAATATCCTCGTACTAATGCTACCATGATGACCATACGACACAATGGACGTCATTACAGAAATATATCAATAAGAGTAGGTAGAAGGAACATAGTGTGATTAATGCTGCATGAGACAGTCAGTGGTATGCAGTTAAATTTGTGCACGATATTTTCTTTTGACGTTGAGGAGGATTGGTGAACTGTCTGAAATTTGGTGACCTGACTGCCGGATGAATTAGTTAGGGTCCAATGACATTTCACTGAACCTACAATCTAATACTAGATCATCATATACTGAACGGAAATTTTGTCATTACTGAGTCTTATTATTTTTTACCTAGATTCGCCCATATGAGAGGGTATTCACATTACTTCGAGAATTAATGGTATGCTCTACCATGATACTAGGTATCAGAACCTCCAACCAATACAATAAAAATGGAATTGAAATTTCATAGTATCACAAATCTTTAGTATTTATATGGATTTCCTGACATTATATTCTTATCCCCTAAACTGAAGTTTTAGTGTTTGAGGCTTGAAGTGAAACTGGCATCCTTTTGAACTCAGTCAAGGTCAGTTCTGCTACCGACCGTTCGGAGTGGGAATTTAGGTTTTTTGTTCGTGGTAGTTAACATTTCACAAGAGGAAGTTATTCCTGACTTGCACAACTCAATTGTACCGAGTAGTAAGTTAAAACCAAGAGACATGTATTATTCTTCATAGTGTGTAGTCTACGGAAAATCTAAACGGCTAGATTATAATTTACGGATGACCTGTGAACGAATCTTAGTGAACTTGAGAAATATTACTTCATCAGTAAACAGTCAGTATAAAGTAAAAGTATATCACAAAATAAAGAGTTGAAGTGGATACGCTTTTTTATATGGTTCAAAGACTTTTCAAGATTAGAAAGATGTTCAAACGTTCTAAAATTATAATGCATAAGGTGGAAGAACTCATCTGTACGACTCCATAGTAGTTGGTCTCTGTTGCCATGATAAGGTCACAAAAACCCTCAGCCTCGACCACAAAGCTTCAATATTGTTTGTGTGTACTCCGGTTGTATAAGTTTATCATTTTTATTATGGATATGTCCCTACAATATTTATACCGCTGAACAGCCGAAGCTTCAGTAACATCTGTGATTATTGAAGCATGTGTTTGTAGGGTTACTTTGGGCTACCTGTTGTATAAAGAAAAACCCCTGGGGGCTAAAGGTACTTTTATGTTCAAGCCATCCTTTTTGTACAGAAGAGACAATACCAACCAATCAAGTACATCAATACAATGGTGAGTGAAGTGTTTACTCCCTACTTATTCGGATGAGATTGAACCTGACTGTAGACTATGCCATAACCTCTGAACCTGAAAGACAATCCTGCATGACAACTATTTGCCAACGGTAGCTAAACACTGACCACGGATTAGCATTAAGTTAAATATCAAAGATTTTTGTTTGAACCAAGACGTATGGGTTTGGATACGTGGTGTACTAAAGCATGCTCCATCATAATCATAAGGAGCCTTCTGTGAAATCTCGTCGAGGACAAATTTCTTTAATTTACACTTGGTGCATTAAAATCTGATATCAGCTACCGGTTCCAATGTTTTATAGTGCGAAATCGTCAGTCAAAGAATCTGCAGTCGAATTTACTAGAAATTTCACAAGCCTTACTTTTATAAGGCACAGGTTAAGGAGTGTATATCCAAGCAATTTTGATGCATAACAGCGTATATATGTGTCGTAGTGTACTTTTCGTTATCGTGGCACTGTTTTACAAAGTTGTCAGTAGCTTTTTCAGCACTGAATATTTTTAATGAGCTGTCGAAATCGAAACAAGCTTGTACCCGAGTAGACAGTCAGTGGTAGTACTGGTAGATTTCATTAATTTGGTTACACTGAAAACAATAAGGACCTATATGAGACACCTTTGGCGCTACTAGTTGACCTCTAACCTTTTAAAATTTAGCTTCAGAACTAAGGGTGTTTAGCGGTTCTCCATATTAGTTAATTTTTGTGGCTAGAAAATTGCTCACACTATGTACATTACAAAACACAGAGACCACTATGATGTTGATATCATTTTTAAAAAAAATTGCCATTAGTAACTTATTGTTAAACAATTTTATTATTTATTTCCTTCCAAGATGTAATGGGATTACTAACTGTTGGTATAATTGCATGTAACAATCTAAGGAAGTCTGCTTAACATTGAACAGTTCACAAAATCTTCTAAATTAGTCTGCGGGTTCAAATTTAGTAAGCATCAAGGTTGGATGTGCAAGCATGACAACTACTACAAAGCCTCGTCGAGCATCTGCCAAAGCATGTCTCAAGGCCATATGTGGACTTACTACTCTCCAGAACTCTGATGATAGCTCAATATCTGAAAATATTGAAAGTGAGATGTCAGATTATGTTGTCGAAAGTGGGAACAATAGTATCACTACCGAAGAGAGTGGTTCGAATAGTGAAAGTAAAGCTGAGAGATCAAACGATTTTAAACTCTCGTCAGCAAATTCATCATCAACAGGGTCGCTTATTGATGAACCATGTCGTAAAAAATCATCAATTAAAGTTCATCGTCCTGTCTTAGGTGACAAAGGATGCTTGAGATCTCCTTTCGTTAGATATATGAGGTCTTGTCGTGGTCGTATTGATCGTGATCCTAAATCTATAGCTCCTGCGAAATTCCTGCAGTCACTAGATTCACTAAAACATATGTTCAGTAATACGCAAAATCCATTTCTGTTTTGTCCCAGGTAATAATCGCTTAATTGTCATAATTTTTAATAGTGAATATAAATCAAACTTTATGTATCGGAAAAAAGCTCTATTTCCAACTTCGGGCGCGTGGGTACGATCACCTATTTAGTAAGCTACTTATTTCAAATGAACCAACATTATAGTATCAAAAAGGATCACCTTCCACAACCTCCCATCAGCCCCATATATTTATCTGATGAAGTAAATTCAGTTAAATTAAAACGGTTCGAATATGACAAGGGTATGTCGCTAAACAGCTTACTGAGTGGATTTTAGGTTCAAATTTAATATATGCTGGTGGAGCAGTAACGTGTTTGTCATGGTGTCCTCCTCGTCTTTCTTCACTTCTGGATTCTGAATCAATTGTAAATGAATGTTCATTTCTTGCGACTTCTTCTGTTCTTACGCCAGATTCACAAACGCTCTATTCTGATAAGATGAAGAATTGTCCTGGAGTTATACAGATATGGAATTGTGGGGTTTTAGGTCTAACAGAAGTGTACGTTTGCTCATTCGATAAAATTCATTGAATTAAACTAGTTTTTATGCACATGAATAGAAAAAATACTATGCTAATAGTGCTATTAATATAAGGACGTTGATTTTAAAGGTCCTATGTTATAACAGCAGTGCAGTGAATCTGTACAGGTTCTTCAGCCAAGTTTTTATGGAAGTATTCATTTATGCGAGTGACAAACTTTCATTAAAAATCATAATGGATGTAAATCGCAATTTTCTGCCCCAATTAATTAAGTCTTTACTGCTTGTTATTTTATTTATTTCGTAAACATAAATACGGATACAGGTGGGCACAAAAATAAGTACAAACCATACAAATAATGAAACAAAGTTGTGAAATGGACTGGGGAAGGGTAGTACAAACAAAAATAACTAAGAAATAGGTGGTTGAGAAAAGTGTATGGGTAGAGATACAGTTCAGTTGAAAGCACAACCGGGAAGATTTTCTCTCAGCTAGAGAAGTTCCTTTCATCTTTAAGAAGAATGTAAAGACATTACAGTAAGACTACCTTTGGCTCTGACTTTGAGTTATGTCCGACAACGTCTTAAGTCATCAAGTTGTACCATATGTATGACACCAACCGGGAGTTTTTGTTAAACTTGTACTATTATATGGAAGATTTTAACTTTTTTTAGTTAGACTGTATCAAACAGTTACATTATGAAAAGCTACATGATAGAAGAAATGTACTACTAATGGGTGGTTTCATTTTACAGGATTTTGACATTAATACATTCTTTGGTGGCATCAGATGTATTGACTTGTTTCGAGTAAAATAATATAATATTGTCAGTGACAACAATTTAATAGTCGTGGTTGTAAGGCCGACCATCTTTAAGTACCATTCGAAGAACTTTCAAGACGAAGCAGTTTGTTATCGTGTGATTGATGTTGGTTACCTTTATTCATTATATGGTACAATACTCAAAAATGCAAGTATTCGTCATGATGTGAGTTTATGCTATCTTGGATGATGAAACGATATTGACTGAAAATACTTGTGGGCATACAAAAGTCAGTTATTTTTACAGGATATCATGATACATCAGTTACTGTTTAAATTTCACTCAACCTTAGTTGGATAGAGTAAAAGGAAGTGTTTCTCATTAGTAGTGGTATATTCAATTTCGATGTTGATCACTTTGTCTATTGGCTTCATTTCCCACTCATTTTTGACTAATTTTATTCAATATTAGGTCAAGTAATTTAAACCCTGAAATTCACTTTATCATTTCACATGATTGGGGTCGAATTACTGATATGTGCTGGATACCAGTCTCACCTTTTTCCGGCATTAAAGAACTAGTGACAAAAGCTTGTTCTTATGGATCGTGCATAATGACTATTCCTGAAGTAGATCGAGTTCTTGGTCATTTAATTGTTGCTTGTCAAGATGGTTTTATTCGTATATTTTCTATACCAACTTGTCCAATGAATTTTGGGTTTGAGAATTCATCTGCTTCACAATTCGCTTATACACTTTCGAAAAATTGTTACCTCACGCTGTCCCCATCTGTCAAAGGTATCGTTTATTCCTATAATCGATTGCTATTTTAATTAGGTTTAGTGTAGATAATTTATCACAATAGGAACCGTCTTCACGGGCTCATCGATAAATATTGATTTCTGATAAAGATCATGAATCTCTCAATAATAGATCATCATTGATCGATTCATAATCTCAACCAAAAACTCAACAATCTCCACAACCCTATACTGGTGATTTCTGATAATTTAAACTTTAAAATATTTGATTATTCATCAAATGCCACCGAGGATTCTTTTATGATTAGGTTGTATTATGTTATTTTTCATCATCTGATCTATTTAGATGTATTAACTTTCATTAGGAATCACATCAGCTAAATAATTTGTTTTACACATTATTCCAAATCAACAAAATCATTTATTTGTCACATCAAAGTCACGCAGCCTTCTTTATTGTTTGTATTCGGCTAGATTGTTTAAACGGAGTCGCTTTCATTTTGAGGTTGATTTAGTACAGTAAATAGACTGGGTGTCATTAAAATTAAGGGTATCAATTCATATAGAGTGGAAAAAAACATTGTCGGGAGGTAAGGAATTCAAGTGCTGAATACCATAGTGTTTAGAAACTTTGAAGTTGCTGGACTGGAAAGGCCTGTGTTCATCATACCGCTCAGATCCGTAATTCAACGTTGTTTTGAAGGGAATGCAAAACTGAAAGTCTGAAACATGTAATGGTGAAATCCATTTCTGCGTTAAACAATACAGAATAAGACCTACAAAGCGAAATTAATTTTTGGTAGATCGTTGTCACTGACAGGCAAATAGAAAGAAATAGAATCTGAAACATTGTAGCACTCCAAGGCGTCACACTTCATATCATCCCAATAGTGGGTGATTAGTAGGAAAGAACATGGAAACAGGATAACGGATAAAAGAAAAAAAAACAGTTAATAGTGAAGGACATACCGTCACATGATGTTAACGATTTAGAAATAGATAAGTGGAGTTTTCGCTATGCCATAACAGTTTTCGAAGTACAATGTCAATAAAGGTTTTCGACTGTTGGTCTCAATTGTTTTGCAGAATCCTATATGGTCTAGACTAATAGTTAAACACTGAGCTACTGTTATACTTTAGTCAGTCAGTCCTTTCTTAAACTAAAGTCCAGACAGCGTAAAGACTTTTGGCAGATAGTTACTGACTGTGCGTAATGTACGATATCCTGCTTCGGTTTGGGCACCCGGGCAGTATCACAGCCCTCACACAAATCAAGCGAGATTTGTGTGGCGCATATATATATATATATATATATATATATATATATATCTGGTGCTCCTTTGTACCAATATTTATGTGTTTAAATAAATAAATAAAATAATGTACGATACATATATGTATAATTTACGGCAATGTTTTTCAAACTTTCAATAACAATATAGTAATAAGTGTTGATGGTTAGTTAATCCGATGAACTTTGTTCTTCAGTTCATTTTACTTGTGTCAGATATGTTAATATGAATTTAATTTATGTGTACCTAGAGCAACTTAATTCCTTTAACTTCACAGAAAATCCTCATTGGGTTGGTTGGCCAACTTGTACACATATTCGCCGTGAATTCCCAGATCGCCTTTTTGTTGGATATACAACAGGTAAGGAAGTGATTCTTATGCTATAAAATATTTTATTTTAGTAAATGTAATAGTCTAACAACTTGATAAAGTCAATATTTTTGTCAAGCGTAATCAAGATGTTTACTAGTTTAAGACAACTGGTTCTGTTTTAGTGTTGAAATCCGTGACGAAAACGTTTGAAGTCATTTGGATACCGTTTCCAACTGCCTACACTTTAAGTGGGCTATGCTTTTTATAAATTTGAAGAAGCAAGCTAGTATTAACATGCTGTCTCTTTGAAACATATATTTGTCGATGAGTTATAGTTATCACTTTTAAATATTGTATTTTAGACAGGAAATTCGCTCTTGGTTACTTCTTTCACCATAACTTTTCATACTTTAGTACTTTACCTTCATAAAAGTCGCTTCACTAAATTTTTTATATTTGGTTAATATACTCTTGGAGAGTGGTTTTTATTGTCACCTGAAAATAATTGCAGAACTATTAGCAATCAAAAAGCTTTGGATAGCTATTTTATTCTGCCACACAAATCCTCTGTACCACACACCATAATTTACATATGAGCTCAAATTCAAGACCACAGTTCATAGTGTAAACGTAATAAATAATGTAGATAGTTTGTCAAATATATACTCTCTTGTCTTTGAAATTAAATTCTGATACTTATTTTTCTAGAATCATTTACCATCAAACTTTGTAAAGCGTATTAACAATAAACGAATAGAAATTTTTTAGTTAAGATTAAAGTTCATATGTATTAACCATTTAACCGTTGATCTCACGTTTGTAATTTAAACGTGAACTATTCAGTATTCAACTGTTTCAAACTTATTATTATATTAAGCTACAGTTATATGAATAAAGAATATTTTTTTCCAGTAAATTCTTATCAGGCTCTGCAGTTATCAGTCCAAATTAGTGTTTCATAAAATCCTCACATTTGACAAACACATACATCATTTAAAGGTTAAATCTAAATTTAAGTGTAGAAATCAAATTAAATTGGTAATCTTTAAATGACTAGTATGTAATTTTAACTTGAAAAGGTTAAGAAGTCAATCAAAGCTGTGAGAATAATAATTTAGAAAAATATAAGTAACCCAGTACTGTCACCACAAATCAAATCAAGTGTATCGTCGAGGACTACTTAGTTTATGGAGTGATATGAATTCAGTAAGGAATGGTACATGAAATGAATATTGATTAAAATCTTCATATGTTCATGAGTTCATTAATAACAATAAAGGTTTGTATATAATAAGAATGATACTTAAACAAGATAAATCCAAGTTGTAGAAACATAGATTTTATGTAAATTATCTAGATTCAGTCGTCTCATAACTAAAATTTGTATGAACTTATTTTGCGTGAGGTTTCCCGTGCATCACACCGAGATAAACGGACGAATTGTCTAGACTAGCCACCCTCTTTTGTATTGATCAATTCAGTTGTTCCTCTCGTGCAAGTTATATCAGCCGATGTTCTAGAGATGTAGATGATAATTTTATGAGTTCTTGGTGTTGAAGAGATCCCGAATTGTTGTGACTACAGTTCATTGATGCATTGTAATCTTTTGTATTTCTTCAAATTTTATGAGTTCTTGGTGAAATAATCCAAGTGTGACAACTTGAAAGAAAGCATTTACCATAAAAGCCTTAAGCATTAGTTTTAAGTTTCTTCATCATGACTGATTCACTGATTACCTGTGCTATTTATCATATCTACACCAACCTTTTGAATTATCTCCTTTTTATATTCAGGTTATGTAGGCTATTACAATTTGAGTAGTCTTAATGATTTGGTTTATTCGCCTCAGTATAATCATTTAGCTCCTGTGAAAATGTCACGTCTGACAAGCAGTCCAATCACATCATTGTCTCTCCATCCTCTTAATGGAAAAATCTTGTATGTACAAGGTAAGTACATGTATTATTATTCTTATTATAACCATATTTATTAATTTGACTTTTAATCCCATATCTAGTTAACTTTTACCAAACGAATTGAGTTTTAGAGATGATAAATTTTGTTAGTTAAAGACCATAGATGAGATGCCTTTAAAACTATCATAACAACGTAAATACTTCCACTTTTAACTTTTCTCTAAATGTCAAACGGCCAGTTAATCATCATCAGCGTAGATTTATTTATTATTTATTTAAACACATAAATATTGGTACAAGGAAGCACCAGATACATATGCGCCGCACGAATCTCATTTGATTTGTGTGAGGGCTGTGATACTGTCCAGGTGCCCAAACTGAAGCAGGTGGTTTTCTTAGGGAACCACACCCCGAACCTTTGACCTGAAGGTCTAATCCACTAGGCGGTGGAGCATCTTGAGGAGATGCAGTCCCATGGTAGCTGGTGACGAACGATTGATTCATACGCCATTTGTTCCTTCAGGATCCTGGAGCCGATGTGCACCATTGGTTTAGAATCAGGGTTTTCCAACTCCCTTAGGTAGACTTTCTGTGTCCACTAGCCCGTTTAAAGCGCCAGACATTCGCTTTTCGTCCCCTCACTTTCGTGAACAACACCCCCGCCACGAGAAGGCAGTGAGTAGGACTTCCCTGACAGAGGCTATAGGTATTAGGGAATGATGGTAAATCAGTTGATGATGTCATGAATCTTTATCGACTGAGATGGTTGGACCACGTGTTACGTATGCCTGAACACCGATTACCACGACGCGCTATGCTGACTAGTATTGAGGATGGCTAGAAGAGAGTTAGGGGTGGCCAAACCAAAACGTGGCATCAGAGCATGTAGTCAGTAACTTCTAGTCTGAGACATGTTGGTAGATGCAGACTACTTGGTTGGGGTCCGCGTGACTATCGTAACCAATGGTTGGAGACTCTGTGTGACAGCTCAGAATCGATCACAATGGTGTAGGTGTATACACTCATCATCTTCCCTTAAACCTTGAGATTAAAATTGCTTCATAACGTTTTTCCTTCCTATACTATATCCTTATATACAATCTTTCTTTTGTATACTACCAACACTAAATTAGCTACTTCTATGAATCCGGTGTTTATCTTGTTGTGCTAATGAGGTATGGCAACTTGGACCGATGGATATATATGCCTGGTCCTACGTTGTAGCTGACTGACTGACTGACAGAGGCTATATATGCGTGGTCATGTGAGAGCGTTTCGAGAGGGAGATCGGATTCTCCCCACTCTTAGCCGTACCAGGGCATTTGGGGCCTGGAGCAGATGTGCGTTTGTCAAAGTTTCTGTACAACATGAAGATAACGAAATGAAAATAACAGTGTGAATATCGAAAGGGATCGAAATAATGTGGTAGCAATGATAATGAGAAATACGAGACATCGAGAGTAAGGTTCTAAAAGTTAGTAAAAAGATCATGTATTGAGGAACACTGGAATTCATGATCTAGAGGAAGGCATACGGTAAATTCATCTGCTTTGTTGTACACAATTCTGAGCCATTTAACCCAGGGCCTTCAACCACTGGCCACCATTGTCACACAGACTCGAACCAGGTAATCCACATCTACCGATATAGCTGAAACGAACAGTCTATGATAGCTAAATGTTGAACATCTTATTATTTATTTTCCTCCTTGCATTCCTTTTTTAAATTCAGGATATTTCTTCCTTTAACTTTTGCTTCGTTTTTTGTTATCAATTCTAACCTCTTGAATTTAATAACCTTATTTATTTAGTCTTACATTATTGTATTTTTATTTTCATTAGGTTATTTATTACACCTTTTAGTGAAACTTAATTTAGCTAACAAATTATACTTATAATCTGCAGAAAGACATTTAGGCGAGACTATAATTTATGGACGAGTCAATCAGAAACATTTGAGGGATTTCAAGGTCACGGCGCCAATTTTAGTACCTGATGCTTATGTACAATCGGTTCACAAAGGATTTTAGAGAAAACGTGACAATTAAGTAGCTAAAATAAATGGGACTACTCAGATGTTCCTGTATTTGTAATTGCGGTAATCAAATGACTTGTAGACCGTGTGCAGACTACCGTGATGTTGTCCTTAGATGTAATATATGTTGAAGGAAGACGTTTGCTAGGATAGGAACCTTTATCGCTCTATCTAGATTGAGACTAAGGCATATTATAATGATTGCCGCGAACTGTATAATAAAAGCACCAGTAACATTGGCTGCAATAATCGCAGATGTTACTGAAGCTTCGGCTGTTCAGTGGTATAAATATTGTAGGGACATATCCATAATAAAAATGATAAACTTATACAGCCGGAGTACACACAAACAATATTGAAGCTTTGTGGTCGAAGCTGAGAGGGTTTTTGTGACCTTATCATGGCAACAGAGACCAACTACTATGGAGCCGTATGGATGAGTTCCTCTACCTTATACATTACGATTTCGGAACCTTTGAACCTTTTTCTAACCTTGATAAGTTTTTGGACTATATCAAAAAAATGTATCCACGTCTGTTATTTGGTTTTGTATAATAAATTTTTACTCTATGCTTACTGTTTACCGATTGACTAATATTTTTCAAGGTCACTTAAGATTCTTTCAAAGGTCGTTCATAAATTATAGTTCTGTCGACGTTTATTTTGATTTATTGTGTTGAGAACACTTTGGGAAGCAATTTCAATAATGTTTGTCTCACCATAGGATAAGTTAAAAATGAACTATTTCTAGTTGTTGGATCTTTTGAAATATATAAATTATTACAATTGTTCAACGAATAACCCCAAGTAAAAAAAGCAGTTTTAGTTGTATCTGTTTGTATCAATCCATATATTTAACTGACACTGGAATTTTTTTATCCACTGTTACCACTAACATGTGTACTCTTTTTCGTAATTTATTGTTTTGTCTGTAAGACTTGATCATTTCTACTCTTACGCCAGTCTCTGATCACCTTATTAAATGTCATCTGATCTAACGTAAGTTTTTGTAAATGTTTTACTAAACGATTGTGACAATAGGCTACATATAAATCTCCCTAAAGATGTTGTGGATATTAGTTTGTCTTTTATTGCTATAAAAATCTACTATAAGTTCCAGTAGATTTCCATAAAAAAAGTCTTATTAAAATTAAGGTAGATGGTTTCCTCATTTTTATAAAATCCATGAATTATAGTATAAATGGTCCTTAGATAGTGTTTAAATACATATTAGCATTAAGTTTATTTTGTCGAAGTAATTCTCAAATGAAAAGATTTAATGTTATCAAACAATTAGAAAAAACGTTTATTTAAGCAGGAATTTTGTAAAGTTTTTGCGTAACTCATGTTAATGAGTCACAAAGAAGGATCAATGATAGATCCTAGTTTCTATCTTTAGATGCTTCCAACTACCTAGTACCTTTGATCTCGTATAAATTTATGTTTTCATTCTTCTAGTATTAAGTACAATTGATTAGAAGTACATTACAGTTTAAACACTAACTCTGACGTTAAACACTTATCCAACTTTCTCACCATACTTTTGTGCATGTTATTGTTATTTGTTATATTTATTTATTTAGCCTTAGAACGTGTCGGTGGTGTCTGGGATTTGGATGACTCTGTATGTTTCACTTCAGAGTCAGGTGAAATCAGTTGGAATCCAGTACATGGTTTTATGGGACGTGAAGGAATATGGATTAGTAATGGTGAATTTTTAGTTGGTTCACGTGAAACGTGGTTTACTTCGACATCATGTAGAAATACTCAACTTCCCAAATGGCCTGCATTATTTGATACCATGGATAACTGTATTGGTCAGTTTTTACCATCTGAACCAACTGATGGTTGTAGCCATTTAATACCATTAGGAATCCAGTCACTTACGGTAGGAAAATCTATTTTTGGAAATGCCTAATGATATACAATAAACATAATCCTATATAACTGACTGATTTCATTCATTTGTCTCAGGATTTATAGTTCACCACTAACAATTACTCAGTTGACCGAATAGAAAACGTGCAGTTGTAAGTGCGAACCTACGCCGCCCACTGGTGTAAATCACCCATTAATGCCTGTTACCCTCATGCAATAATCCCAGCTTACACCTTAACGTGTTATGATGCTTCCAGATGAAAACTTTAACTTCAAGTTTAGTTTTGAGGAGTTCTGGAGTTAAAAAAGACCTCAAGCATTCGTTTTCTAGTATTTTATTATATACTATTAAATCACTCGGAAATTAGAATCAGAACCGGTAAAAGTCGCCTCTGAACTAGTTTATTGTACAGCTTCTACAAAGTATAAACTCGACCTAAGTTATAAAAAAATAAGCAAATCAAAATGTCGATCAATTCACTCATGATTATTTACCATAGCTTAGAGGAAGCTACATAATAATCATCATTTATAGGTATAAATCATATTACAAAGTGTGATTTACAATCAAACTGATGGTAAATGCTTAGGTGCTTGTATAGCACCCTGCAAGCCTTCTTTTATTGCTGAACAGTTCTCAACTAAGAAGGAACAACTACATGGTGCTCAATAATTTTCAATAGCTTTCACGTTAATCGAATTTCTGAATTGTTTCAATGGTAAACAAGCTTTTGCTTCATGCTTGTTACTGTCGATTAATTTATGGAAAATATTCGAGAAATATATCAAAATTGAAAGGAAATCGAACATGAAATACAACATCTGTCATGATATTGCTCCTCATAGGGTTGAGGTATTTCTTTAAAAATATGTATGATGGAGATTAATATCTTACGGAATATGTAGATCCCGTTGTAGATTAAATTAAAATAGGTCACTGATATAGCCTGATATATTTTACTGAATTCTTATTGACCTTAATCTATATTAGCGTTTGCCAGTCTACATAGTTATACTCAGCTCATACCACAACTCATAAATTGGTCACTTGCTTGTCGAACACGAAGGAAGCTATTCTGTAAAAAACGCAAAGAAACTATTGAGGAATGAGGATACTTGCATCCTGTATGTTTACGGTTATTAGTAGAGAGATGCAAACATTATCTACTCGGACGAAATTCAAGGTCTGAATATATATATATATATATATATATATATATATATATATATATATATATATATATATATATATATATATATATATATATATATATATCACCATAAGTTCAAGAAGCGCAATTATTGTAATTATACTATACTCATGAATAGACTGCCAATATCAAATGAAAGTGATATCAAAATGGTGTATTTATTTTTGGAATTGTCCTTTTCAAAGTTTGACGGAATACATTAAATCAAAGATTTGACTTGTTGCACGATGAAATTTTTCAATTGTTGTGATTGAATTCTTTTTACCGCTAAGCACTTCTATTATGTATATAGATATTCAAAATTCAACTTGTAGGCGGATTCGTAAATTGATTTAGCTGGATTTATGCATTTGTTTATTATTGATTAACTCATATAAATAAATGTGTTTTTCATGTGTTTCGTTGTCGTGAAAACTCGAACCACATTGATTGTTCTGTTTTTTTTCTTTCTGTTTTTGCAAATTTTTAAAAGGAATTCTTGCTATTCTCTCAATATTTACTTTTCGTTTGTTTATTTTTTCCATGTACTTATCTTTAAATTGGCTAATAGAGTGTGGATTTTAGTGATTCTCTCAATGCACTTGTGTGTAGTACAGACAGAGGACGTATTGAAGTGATTGCTGAATCTGTAGAGAAGCGGAAATGTGATCCGTCACGTCCAAAATATATTCCTGAGGTTAGATTGTTGAAAAAACTTTCTCATTTTTTTCTTTACTTTGAATTTAATTTTCGAGATACTTTTGAATATATATTCACGTATACGCTTATATATAAGTACTTGACAGTAATTAAAATATGTTATTATTTTTTGGTTCATCATGAGAAAAGTTTTTGGCTGTGTATTGATCAATAATATGTGTTAGGTATCAGAAGTCGGTTGGTGGTGAAGCCATGATATCGATTATGTGATTAACTCAGTAGTGGATAACTAATTGTGGCCTGAAATAATCAATGCTGCGTTCCAATCTCAGCGGTTGAATCAAGGCAAATGCAGATAAGTCTAACTGAGTCCCAAAATAAATCGAAATGTTCATCCTAGATTGAACTGGTTCCCACATTTTAAGCATATAACAAAACTTTTGAATGTAACTGTTATTATTCACGAATATGCTACTCTTACGCAGACGTCTGTTGGCTTTTAAATGTTAAATGCCTTTACCATATCGCTCATTACCTGGGAAATATATTTTTAGGAGTTGTTGATGAGAGCTTGTGATATCATATGGCAGCCTAAACCGATGTGAGTAAATTGTATTGAAATCAATAGTTCATCTGTTGATAATTGAGCGCTTTTAACCACGAAGCCATTTCAATGATCTGATATATAGTATGCATCCCATGATCCAAGGCAACCAAATAGAATTACTCTCATTGAAATTTTTAGCAGTAGCATCTCCAATCGCTACTATGATACGAGCTCGAACCTTTGAGAGTGCAATGGGTTTCTCACTTTTGAGAACAATGTCTTGTTAGTATAACACCGTCATACTTATCGCAGACCAACAATCGTAGTGTTTCTTGATATCAGGGCTGCCTTCGATTCGTTGAATAGGACTGTTCTCTGGGATTGTCTATTGAAGAAGGATGTGCCTGAGAAGTTTATTAACATCTTAAAGGCCTTGTATACAAACACTTCAGGCAGAGTGACGGCATACAACCACCTCTATCCCTTGTTCCATTCAAGCAGTGGGGTTAGGCAGGGTTGCCCAATCTCACTATTCCTCTTCAACTTTGCCATCGACGACATCCTAAAAACAGCTCTGATGGATGTAAGTAATGGCGGTGTGGATATGTTGCCTGGAGAACGACTTCTCGACCTCGAGTATGCGGATGATATTGTCTTACTGTGCGATAATGCCCAAGGCATGCAATCCGCACTTAATCAGTTGGCAATCAGTGTCCGCAGGTACGGCATGTGCTTTGCACCCTCCAAGTGCAAAGTACTCCTACAACACTGGCAGGATTCTAATCCTGCACTCACCCTGGATGGTGAGCAGATTGAAGTAGTTGAAAAGTTCGTGTATCTAGGTGGCTATATAAGTGCTGGTGGTGGCGTGAGTGATGAGATTGATGCACGTATAATGAAAGCCAGAGCGGCTTATGCCAATCTGGGCCATCTTTGGCACCTTCGTGATGTTAGTCTGGTTGTAAAAGGTCGGATCTACAACGCGTCGGTGAGAGCAGTTTTGCTCTATGCTTGTGAAACCTGGCCTCTCCGAGTTGAGGATGTTAGACGACTCTCTGTGTTCGATCATCGTTGTCTCCGAAGGATTGCTGACATTCAGTGGCAACACCATCTTAGTAATGCAGAGGTTCGGCATCGTGTGTTGGGGCGCAGAGACGATAATTCAATTGGTGTCACTATCTTGAAACACCGACTTCGGTGGCTTGGACATGGTTTACGAATGTCGTCCCAGAGAGTTCCACGTCGTGCATTATTTGCCGACTCTGGGACTAGTTGGAAAAAGCAAAGAGGTGGTCAATGTATGACATGGTGTCGTTGCATGAAAGAAAGCTGCAAAGGGCTAGCTTCTGTTGGTCCTTTACGACTCCTTGGGTGGGGTCCAAGTGATGGTGCAACACAGTGGCTGGGGGTGTTATCAGATATGGCTCAGAATAGAAGCCAGTGGCGATCCTGCTGTAACCTTCCTTTACTTTCTTCATAAAGAGTAGTTTTAACTTTCTTAACTGAGAGAGTTCTTCTGGTTGTACATTTCAGTTCCCCCCATCATTACTCTTTTTTTCCATCTTTTCTTTCCTTCCTTTATATGTACGCATCTTCCCCCTTTCTCCTCCCATTCTCATTATTTTGTGTGGCGCAGATGTATCTGGTGCCCTTTGTACCAATATGTATGTGTTTAAATAAATAAATAAACTTGTTAGTATGAGTGGAAGCAATTAAGAAAACGGATTATTGGTTCTTTTGTCGATTAATTTATAACAAAGTCTAAAAATAATTGTATCTGAAAGTCACTTGACTTAGCTGATGGGATAAATTTACATTTCTTGGTAAGTAAACCTCCCCAACCCCCCTTTTATTCTGTTTACCGTACCCTTTGTTTTGGTTGATCATTTCTAATCACTAGGAGTTATTTAATGCGATCTTAGATCAACCTATCTCAAGTGATGTAATTAAACTATTAATTCCTTTTGTTTATTTCTATGATTTTAATTGTTTGAAAATTCCTATCATAATAAAAACACTTATATGGACGAAGAGTATGATTTTCAGTTACTTCCCATCAGCTTCTACAGCTAGAAATACACATTAATTTCCAAAAAGATAACCAATTTTAGGACAAATATATCATTTAAAATTATAGTTTATAAATACTAATAATTCCAATATTAACAATGTTGACTTTATTCCGCCAACAATCCTAAATTTCATAAGCTGTAATTTTAAATGGTTCATTTGTCTTAAAATTGTCTATCTCCTTGGAACACTAATTTGTACTTCTAGTTGTAGAAGCTGATGGGAAATATTTGAAAATAATATTCTTTGTCCAGTTGTGCGCATTTCTGTTTTTATTGTACACATTGGTAGCCGGTATATTGTCCGTTGCAATCCTTTTATTTTCTGCAGGCAATCCTATAAACTCTGTTGATTTTCATTGGCAGTTTCTTAATGTTTTTCTGTGAAATCTAGGTATTAATCCATTTCTCTCCGTTTATTGTTGGTTACCCAATTTAGTCACTAAAATTTTAAATTCTATGAATGGTTACTATGTTTATCTAGACTCACGTAACTTATGGGTTCGTTATTGTAACTCAATCTGCTAGGTATATAGAAATAACGCTATCATTGACATTCGATCACTCCTTTTTTGATAGTCAATTTCTGTTAATTAGGTCATAAAATACCTAATGCTTTTCTAAATCAGGGTTTTATTATTCCTCATATCACGAAATAAGGTATTTTCTGGTACTTTACTATTGTTCGAAGTATTTTGCTTTCAACATTCCAATCGGTTGTTAAAAAAATTTAGATACTTCTAAATATCTCTCGACCGACTTATTGGAAGTTTCTCCTAGCATCTTTTTCGTTAGAAATACTGTCTAAATGAGCACTTAGAGCATTAATCTGTTTAGTCATTTTCACATTGTTGTTGAAGCGCGTTATAGTTTGTTTTGTTACATAATATAAGAGCCATTAAGAATACGAGTTTATAATATGCTTTTTTAGTGCTAACAAGCTTCAGTTAGATAGCTTATTGTAGTTTATATTCTAGTCTTTCTTAAGATAAGCATATACTGTAGAGAACTAAACTGACCTAAATTAGCTTGATCTCCGAAAGAAGGTCGTTGACTATTTCTGTGTATCTTGTAATCAAATTTTATGGTAGAACCTAAGCTTTTGAGAGACAAATACCAGAATATTGGTCATATCATTAAGGATTTGATATTTTAGTATACTTTTACAGTTATGATTGTTATTTGATAATTCACTATTCACTAGTTCTCTGTTTGGTGCAAGCACATCCATGATCATTGTGTCAAAATGTGTTCTCACTCATCTTTCATTACAGTAATTATTTTCTATGAAACATCTAACATAATACAAAATAACTGATAGTTGCAAACCTTGTGTGTATTAAGGAGTAGCTTAAGTATATGATCCAAGAAGTTACCAAGTTTATGAATCCCTTTTGTTTCATACTGAATGCTGATACGAAATATATCCTCACCTCTTAGTGTCGTATCAGAGTATATTCTTATGCGTAAATATCATGACAGGTTATATTCCTAGTGCTGTTCATTTCGAAAGTGTGGAGATAATAAGAAAATCTGTAAAATAGTTAACATATTACGATTATCATTTGTGGAATTATTTTCATCTCTCATACACTTAAATATAGTCTATTTGATGATGCTAGGTCTAGATAATTGTAGTCGACTGATTCTTAGTTCATTCTAACAGATATAAATTACGAAAGTTAGATTTATAAATTTGGTCCTAACACTACTTCGTATCTGTGCACAATCCTACATACAGGAAAGACGTGGTTCCATTGTATCTTAATTATCTCCGAGGCCTTCGGTTTCTAAAGTGTTGGCTGAAAGCATGAAATAAGTAGTATATATCTTTAAAATAAATTTTCATCGGGATTTCCCAACACTATAGATTTACTAAGGAAGCTTATGTTAAGAAACATAATATTCCTTATATTTCGAACATCTACTTGCCTAGATGTATTTTAATAAATATTTCAATATAATCCAGTAGTTCAAGGTAATCTCTCGTACTCGGTTTTATGCCACAAGTATTATTTGATATTACAGGGAAGTTGTAGCTGGTGCAAAGTCTATACCAGATAATCAGTGTCCAAAGTCTAGTCACAGGTGACCGTCTTTGGAAATAATTACGTTAAGAAGCATGTTGTCTTACTCTTAGTCTTCTTTTGTGCAGTTTTTCTTTTTTCTTACTATCTGTCTAGGATCGTATCTAGCAGTTCTTTATTTAATAGTGTAACTAAAATTAAAAATTTGTTTGACAATTGTTTAGTTGATATGTAAGCCTAAAGATAATAAGACTAATTTGTGTAGTTTTGTTCATTTGGCTTAAAAAACTTCAACATGTTCTGAGTTTTATGTAGAAAAAAAGATTTAATTCAATTGTCATTCAAAACCCAGCACAATATCACACTACCCCAACGTAATCTCAGATGATTTACT